AATAGGTGGACCCCCTCCCGGCCCCATAAAGCCGCCGGAGTCGAAGCTGGCAGCCTCTGCTGCCTGAGATCGCAGCTGCCGGTAAGCGGGCTTGGAGCAGGGCTGCGGAGGATGGCTAGGACTGCCCCCCCATGCGGCCCAAACCAAATTTATGTGTGGCCCAAACCAAATTTTCATCTTCTAATGTGGCCCAGGGAAGGTGAAAGGTTGGACACCCCTGCTTTAGAGGAACCTTGTGGTAAGTCCTGAAGACCAACAAAAACATGCTAATCTGCATAATCCTGGAGGTAAGAGAAGCTCCTCCTGTGGCACTCAGATGTTCACATTAGATAAGAACTTCCTTCTTTCAGCCACAGGCTATCTCTAGGTGTCCATTTTTTGGCTTTAGACAGTGTACCTACTTTGGAGGAAAGAAGTGCTGGGCTTCATCCCCACTATACTGTGCAAGAAAACCTGTGGTTACCATCACTGTTTTATAACACCACTGCCTCAAAAATCTGACAGGGATAACTGGACATCCAGAATGTTTACCTACACCTCCTCTATTGTAAATGGTCTCTCTTTTTTTTCTTTGTTTGTATTTGTCCCTTTACTGCTCATCAATGAGAAAAACAGATACTGGAGCCATTGGCATAACACAGAACAAAGATTGGCCCTCAACATCTTGGTAACTAGAGCTTTAGCTTAACAAAAGCCCAGTATGTGCTGGCTTGGGTTGCCTACCAAAGAGCAGCTCTGCATGGCAAGGCTAGGCATGAGTTTAGGCCAGGAATTTGGCTGTAGACACTGCCCCACCACAGTTTATAGTCTGAATTTGCTGTTCAAAAATGCGGGATAGCAGCCAGTGATGGTTGAGAACAACCAGACTAGCTGTGGATTATGGATCTGTAGTCCATCACATTTAGAAGGCACAAGGTTGTGGAAGGCTGCCTTATCCATTCAGATTAGCTTTACAGTTCGTCTCTGAGCTGCTGACCTTGATTCAATCTGAATGCCAAACCAGTCCAATATTCCATTCTTGATAGTATGAATGCCCAGGACTTACACTTGGAGCTTCAGAAACAGACAAGCAAAACAAAAGCAAACTTTCCATATGAAAGTTCATTTCTTTTCAATAATCACATTGGACTTGGAACATAAATCTTTTACAGACATTTTCCTACAGAAATACAGTAATTTGAAGGTGTCTCTATGGGAGGTAGTCAACAAATGGGAATAGCCTGAAATGTTGTCATGCCTGCTTCTCCCTTTCAAGGAGCCACAGATATAGAACTAAAAGGAATATTTCATCTGTTTTGTGCTTCTGGAATAAATCTTTCTGCTGGGGTTGTTGAGTTTCTGTTATGTGCCATCAAGCTGGTATGACTTATGGCAACCTTATAAATGAGCTATCACCAAAATGTCCTGTCCTCAACAGCACTGGTCAGCACTTGCAAACTCAAGCCTGTGGATTCCTTTTAAGGAGTCAGTCCATCTCATATTTGGTCTCTATCTTTTTCTGCTGTCTTCAAACTTTCCCAGCATTGTTGTCTTTTCCAAAGAATCCTCTTTTCTCATGAGGTGCCCAAAGACTGGAAATCGTTCTATAGTGGGCTTACATTTATCTCTTGCAAAGTGCCAACAGTGCATACTGTTCCATTGCACTATGATGAAATAGTGCACTATGATGAAATTTTGTTGGAAGCATTGTACAGTAGGATCTGAATTGAATATTGGGAGTATCTCATTTCATTTACAGTGTGGTACTGCAGCAAAGAATCAGATGCATGGGAAACATTATTGGGTCCAAAACAGATATGCATTTGGCATACATTTAATTTTGGGCTATATCTTGAGGATCAACAGCTTGTATATGATACATCTAGTACACAAGTTCTCAACTTGTGTGTTGGGACCCCCAAGAGGGCCATGAAAGGTTTTCTGGAGGGTTGCCATGGTTATTTTTAGATGCAATTATTTTTATATTTATTATATTAAATATAGTATATACAATGCTGTTTTATTTTGATCAGCCTGGCCCACAGATAGATAATTTTAATCTTAACCAGAATTGCAGGCAACCTGGGGTTCTTAGTTATTTCTGTATCCCTCTGGGCAGAATTTCCTTTTATTCATGCACATCCTACTCCATCTGAAAGAGACATTCTTTCATTTGTCTCTTGATTCTCTGTATCCACCTTTGGAGAACTGACATCAGTTTTATTTTGATCAGCCTGGCCCACAGATAGATAATTTTAATCTTAACCAGAATTGCAGGCAACCTGGGGTTCTTAGTTATTTCTGTATCCCTCTGGGCAGAATTTCCTTTTATTCATGCACATCCTACTCCATCTGAAAGAGACATTCTTTCATTTGTCTCTTGATTCTCTGTATCCACCTTTGGAGAACTGACATCAGCCCTTAAGACTGGAGCATTAGCTCACCTCAAAGAAGCCTGAATGAGGCTAGAGCACACTGCATGCTGGGAACACTGACACTCAAGTTGGCAGCAGGATTAAGAAGTTGTTGCTGCTGCAGCAGTACCGTTCGCTCTACCTGAGTCTGAGGGAAGGGGTTTATTTGGTCTGAAGAGGGCTTTGGTGGGTGGATGGAACATGAAGGATCATTTCAAAAAAGTAAATTAAATTCAAAGTACTACCCAGAGTAAGTAGCCTTGCTGTTAATTGGGTGGGATGGATAAACAAACAAACAAATGGTATTGATTTTTTTTCTTTCTCAACATTTTGTCTGATAGAGGGAGATTTACAGTCCCCACTTAATTATGTATTATCACATTAATATTAATATATTAATTTAGAATTTTATTCTGAAAAAATATGTTTTAATGTGTTTTCTCTACACCATAAAATGCCTTTTCATGGAAATATGGTGGTGGTGGTGGGATGTCACAGGTTACTTGGTTATTGTAAAAGAGGGTTACAACTCTAAAAAGGTTGGGAAACATTTATTTAGTACATTTAATCCTTGAAATGACAGGTCTCTGCAAACTTTTCTTCTCCAAAAAGTATGACTGGATTTGTTTTCTAGCCACTTCAGCGGACAAGTGAATTCAACTATCCAGGATAAATGTTTACGATTTATTTCTAAAAAACATATTTCCAATCAACTTTTTTTACTCCAGGGAAAATAAAGCAACAACCAGCATAGAAACGCAAATAAAGACATTATCAAACAGTGAAGGTGGTAAAATTTTGCAACAGTTTCCCTTTATAAAAAGAGCTATGTCTTCACAAGACACCAAAATGCAGCTAGCAAGATGGCCATATGGGCCTCTTTAGAAAGCACTTTACACAGTGTTGTCACTACAATCAAAAAGGCCTTGCATCTTGTGCAAGTAAGACCACACCTAGCTTGCCTCTCTCTCTCTCTTTCTCTCTCTGTCTCTGCTACCTAACTTTCCCAGCTGTACTTGAAGCCACCCTCCTTTCCTTTCTTCCAAATGCTGTCTTGGTATAAACTTCCCATTCAGGATACCAGAAATAGGGGCACTTGAGGTCAGTAAGCCATTTGGACACATGGATCACACCAAATGGCATATCACGTATCCCTGCAACCTCAATCAAATCTATTTAGGCCACACCAGCTTGCACTAAAAAAGTCAGTCTGGCTATGACCTAAGATTTCAGGTTGGCCGAAAGACCTAAAGTAGGACTGAGGGTGTTGAATGGTATGTACAGATATCCCGTATGTTTCTTAAGGCAATTTAGAAGGTATGAAACAGTACCCTTAACAGTGCCATTAACTGAATTTGCAACAAACAGATAAGCAATGAAGATAGAATAAAGGTGGAATTATAAGCGCTATCCTATGCATTCCAGACAATCATTTGATGGAAAGACTTTGGACCAGCTGAGGTTTTAGCCTTTTTCAAGGACAGTCCTGTGAAAGAATATCAGAAATGTTCCTTTACTTGAACTCTTTGATTCTCTATTGCATTTATTTTTCAGTTTCTAAGTTATGTTCTGCTTTATCACATACAGCTCAGGCAGTTAGCAAAATCAATGGAAAATACAATAATTTAGAAAAGAATTACAGGCAACCTGGCAGGTAAAATTCAGTATCAAAAGCAACAAAAAGACATCAACAAATTAGAGTATGTCCAGAGAAGAAATATTAAGATTGTGAGGGGCCTGGAAGATAAGTTGTACATGGAATGACTGAAAGATTTGGCAAGATTTAGTCTGGTTTAGAGAACCTTAATGGCAAACATGAGAGTGACCATAGAGAAGATGGAGTAGACCTGGTTTCTGAGGAAAAGGATTAAAATCAGTGGTGTGGAAATTGCAGGGAAACAGATTTCAGCCACAGATTAAAAGAATTTTCCCAGTAATGAGAGATGTTTAGCAGTGGAACAGATTGCCTTGGGATGGAGTGGTTTCTCCATCCCTGAAGATGTTTAAACCCAGACTGAATCACTTTCTATCAGGGATCCTGCAAGTGTCTTCCGCATTGCACAACTTGTGTTCAACAGTATCTCCAAAATCTCTTTCAACTCTTCAGTTCTCTGAAACTAGAAAGTGGTAACAAAGTGGTAACATATATGAACTACTGTAGTTCCAATAACATGTGCCATTGACATTTGGGATCAATATTTACCTAGTCTAGAAGCTTAGCAAATAAAAAAAATCTTTAATAAAAGGAGTTCTTGATCCACTCCTTAAAAACCTGGAAAACTAACCTCTCTGTTAAATGGTCCCCAAAAAGAGAGTCATTGCAAAGGAATACACAAGAACTAGTACGTACTCACGAAACCTTGGATGGAAGTGGCATCCACAACAGGGCCTCTTCTGATGACCTCAAGGACTCGAGAGGCATATAAGAGAGAAGGTGTTCTTTCTGCGTTTCTTTCACTATGGCTTCCTAGCATTCAAACAGGGGGGAAAGAAAGAGAAGGCAAAGATCAGCAACTCTGTCATGGCACAGCAGGTAAAGGTAAAGGTAAAGGTTCCCCTTGACAATTTTTGTCCAGTCGTGTTCGACTCTAGGGGGCGGCGCTCATCCCCGTTTCCAAACCATAGAGCCAGCGTTTTGTCCGAAGACAATCTTCCGTGGTCACATGGCCAGTGCGACTTAGACACGGAACGCTATTACCTTCCCACCAAGGTGGTCCCTATTTATCTACTTGCATTTGCATACTTTCGAACCGCTAGGTTGGCGGGAGCTGGGACAAGTGACGGGCGCTCACTCCATCGCATGGATTCAATCTTACAACTGCTTAGTCTTCTGACCCTGCAGCACAGAGGCTTCTGCGGTTTAGCCCACAGAGCCACCACGTCCCTTCATGGCACAGCAGCATGTCTTTAAAAAGCTTCTGCACAATACAGTATTAGAACAGAAGAGAAACTTTAGCACTATATTTATCCCAGAGCATTCATTTTTACCAGTCTTAGAAATCAGTACTTACAGGCAAATAAAAACATCTTAATGTTGCAACACAATGCCAGGCAAAAGCAAAATAAAACAATGATAGTAAACTTTGTAACAACCTGTGAGAATAATATTGAATAGGCGACATATGTCAGCAGGGTAAACTAGAGGTAAAAGAGAAGGGATTTTATGTTCAGGGGATCTTCAGTGAGAGTATACCATTAATTAAAAAACCACAAATGCAGAATAACTGTATACTGTGATTCAAGAACACATGACCTTGTGACATCTGACTTAAAAATTCACTTCCTGTTCCAACGGGACTTGCTTTATATTACTAAATAAGGGAGCAGAACTTTTACAAAAGTATCCGTTACTTATTCACCTGTGTGTCTTTTCTTGTGGGCCAATAAATATAAAGAGATCTGAGGGTATCTTAAAGCTAGGTGGTAACTGGTCTTATTTATAAAAGGAGAACCAGAATTATTATTTTGCAGTGCTTCCCCAAAGGAGACTTAGGTTGTACCACAGCATCAGTTCCAAATATCTTTGCACATGAAGGAACTGTTCACATCTATTTAAACACACACAGAGACACAAAACCTGGTGGACAAACATCTGTGCAGAAGTGGAAAATTACAAGCAATCAGGGTGATATATAGGGGCAAATGATCCCACCAGTTTCAAGACATCAAAAATTTAAGACAAGAGTACAGGCACCTTACATACAAGGAGTCATTTTTACACCACAGAACATAAATCTAGCAACAGACTCTTATCTCCCATTATTTTCAGTCAGTCGCACACTAAAGTTGCAGTTCAGCAGCCTACGAGATTCAGAAGGCTAATTCATCAGTGTGTTACTGCTCTTAAGAGCCATCCATGTCAAAATACATGTGTACTTATACATACACACAAGGTTTTTATAGAGGAATGTATTTTCCCCATAAAGCACTGTGCAAGCTAATTGCATCAGTTACAAATTACAGCTATTCCGAATTTTCTACTAATTTTTTAAATTTGTGTTGGATAGTTAGTCAGGGCAGTAAAAGACAGTAAAAATATCTTCATCAGGAAAGATAAAAATAAACTTCTAAGAGAACAGCGGCTATATATAGCACATGCAAACATGCTGGGGTGGGTTAAGTTACAAATTCCCTCAATCTACCCAAGAAGTTGGCCTTGGTTATCTATCACTCTTCCATGAGAAATTATAGGAGACAGATACAATTTCCAGTTAATGGGTTGCTTGCCAGGTTATTTCTTCTTTAAAAAAAAAAATCAGCATCCCTACATCTACCTAAAATAATGAAACGTAAGAATTTTAGTACCCGACTGGATTAAATGACATTTGTCTTTTGTTCACTGTCAGATATGACAATAAAATAGATGGAAGTGCATAGACAAGGACACCACTTGTAGCACTAAGGATAGTGTGTACATATGGAAAGTGCAAAATTACAGGAACTACAATGTTGGTGAAATCCTTATCGGCGAGGAAAGGCTCACAAGATCCCACAAGCCACAGCAAGAGTGTATATGCCTGATGGATGGTCACTTCATGCCATACGCTGAAGATCTCGGTCACAGCAGACAGCATGTAAGGGCTACCTAAGGCTGACAATGTTATCTCAGACTGGCAAACAAAAGGCTTAAAAGCCAGCACAGTCCACTCAGAATGGGGGCCTAAGCAGAATTTTCTAGCTGAGCACGCAAGCCAAGGAAACTGGAATGACATGTGGGAAAATGGTTACAGTGTCTCTGAACTTCTTTGGTGGGGGGGGGGGAGAACTTTGCTTTCCAGGTCTCCCTGGCTGTGGATTCCATGAAACAAATGAGCTATCATGCAAAGTGAAAAAGGAGTAAGGTGGGCAATATAATTTGGGGCAAAGAATGGGTATGGGCTCTGCCCCTCCCCATCCTCTTGCTTTTCTAATGGGACTGAAAAAAAAAAGCATAAACATGCCAAAGAAGGTGTCAAAACAGTTATCCTCACACACTGTTAACATACATCCTTGCCCAAGACGAAAGAAGCTCTGCAAAATGTGGCTTCACCTAAAAGCCATGCCCCTCCTCCCCTTAGTTTCTCTGGAGCATTTGCTGTACAGTTGACAGTGATGTTTTATGAATGGAAAAATCAATTTCCCCACTGAGTCTGTTACAAAATTCTTTGCTAGCACAAAGGTCTCAGCAGAGACCCAGTAATTACAGAATGCCTGAGGAAAGGAGGTAGAGGGGAGAATCTGACCTTTCCTCTTTGTTTTGTGATATTTCTCTGACAAGAGAGATTCCGCACAGAAGAAAATCCACCAAAGGAGGGAGGAGCTGTGTGTGCAGAAGGACCCTACGTGTGGTTGTTTTTGCTTCTTTGTTCTATTATTTCCTTTTCTAAGTGCCACTAAGCAGCAGGCGGGAGAAAGCATCCTGGAGGGCAAGCTTCTGAAACTTCTGCCAAGATCAACCCACACAACTTTGTTACTTTCAAAGGTAGCTGACACAAGCACCAGCCAATCACGCCGTAGAGACAAAATGTTTTAAAACAAATACTCCTAGTTTTTCCGAAGTAAAGACCTCCAGACAGACAAGAGTGTGAAGAAAGACCGCCATGCTAATTATGCCTTTAGCGGAGAGCCTTTAGCAGAAAGGATTACAGCACCAATAACTGCCACAGTAAAGAGCTGTCCTGTGATAAAGAACTACAGTATTCCATTTTCTAGGAGCAGTGCTCCACTCTCAAGATAAAATGGAACTATACACACCAGAAAACCAATTGCCATAAACAGACTCCAACACAGGGCCTTGTCAACTACAGTTCAAAAGTATTAGGTTTCCCAATGGCAGAATGATCATGATTCATTTACTGATTTGCATGTTATAAAAGGATATGAACTGAGAAAAGACTAAATCATGTATGGATTTTTCATTATTTGATTGATTGCCATGTGCAATAGTTTCTGGAAATAAAAAGTCTGCTTTGATTAGGCTGAAGTTGCTGCAGAACATCCAAAGATTTACAGTATTATTAATTTAATTGTTTAAAATATTTTTACCCAGCCTTTCTACTTAAAAGGAACCCAAGGCAGCTTACAAAATTAAAAAGGCAATATTTAAAAACTAAGTACAATAAGTATTTTAAACAGAATTTAACAAGTATCATATTAAAACAGAAAATAAAATTAATACTAAAAAGACATTTGAAAGCAACAGATCACAAAAATCCATTTTAAAAGATTGCCAGTCACTAAGGAAAAGCCTGCCTGAAGAGAAAGGTCTTTGCTTGCTTGCAGAAAGACAGCAAAGATGGGGCCAGCCTGGCCTCCTGTGGGAGGGAGTTCCAGAGTCTGGGAGAAGCGACAGAGAACGTCCTCTCCCGTGTCCCCACCAAGCACCCCTGCGAGGGTGCTGGGATTGAGAGAACAGCCTCCCATGCCAATCTTTATGCCTGGGTAGACTAATAGAGGGAAATTAGATGTTTTAGACAGCTTGGATGCAAGCCATTGCTTTTCAGGTTAAAACCACGCACTTTGAATTATACTTGGAAATGGATCAGCAGCCAATAGAGCTGCTGTAACCGGGTGGTTATATATTCCCTGTAAGCAGCCCCAGTTAGGAATCTGGCTGCAGCATTTTTGAACCACTGAAGTTTCCAAACACTTCCAAAGGCAGTCCCACATAGAGCATGTTACAGTAACCTAGGGCAGTGGTTCTTAACCTTGGGTTACTCAGGTGTTTTTGAACTGCAACTCCCAGAAACCCCAGCCAGCACAGCTGGTGGTGAAGGCTTCTGGGAATTGCAGTCCAAAAACACCTGGGTAACCCAAGGTTAAGAACCACTGACCTAGGGCATGTGTCACTGTGGCCAGTTCAGGTCTCTTGAGAAACTGGTACAGGTGGCACACTAGTTTTAACCATGCAAAGGCACTCCTGGCCATTGCTGGAAACTAGGCATCCAGGCTCAGAGATTAATCCTAGAGCACTCCCCGACTGTGCACCTATGTTTTAAGAGGGAATGTAACACCATCCAGGACAGGCTGCAACCCTATTCCTTGATCTGCTTTTTGACTGACCAGGAGCATCTCTGTCTTGCCTGGATTAAATTTCAGTTTATTCACTCTCATCCAGTCCATTACTGATACCATACACTGATCTAGAACTGAAAAAGCTTCCTCGGATTTAGATGGCAAGGAGAGATAGAGTTGGGTGTCATTAACATACTCGTGATACCGAATCCCAACACCCTGGACAACTTCTCCCAGTGGTTCATGTAGATGTTAAATAGCACAGGGGATAAAACAGAAAACTTAGGGACACCACTGACCAACAGCCAAGGTATCAAACAGGAGTCCCCCAGTGCCACCCTCTGGATTCTCCCCTCCAGGAAGGACCAGAGATACCATAAAACAGCACCTCCACATCCCATCCCAGAGAAGCGTTCCAGAAAAATACCAAGGTCAATGGTATCAAAAGCTGCTGATTCTGAAGATTGCAGGAAG